GGACCAGGATTGCCCACCCCTGGTCTAAGGGAAAGGAAGCAACAGTTCCAAACAAACCATTCTTGCTTAGCTTTTTCCACAATCTCAACACAGGTTTGCCTTCTTTTTGCACACAGACAGAGAGAGCAATTTTCAGAAAATGAAGATGCATTTGTGTGATCCGGACATAGCTTTGTGACAGCCAACGCACCCCACCCCCTGGAGAAAGCCTTATGCCTCAGGGCAACACAATGACACATACGCACACACACTGATATAACCACTCTAAGGAGGAGTCATCGTGGGGTTAAAAAAAAAAAAAAAAAAAAAAAGGGGGGGGGGAGTGGAGGAGGAAGAAGAGGAGGAGGAGGGCGCACAGCAGGAAAAGGGAGTGTTTTACTCTCGTATACTCTCAGAAATGCACCTTAGCTCCTCCAGACTCAAAGGTTTGACTGCAGAGTCAGCCACGCTTAGGTACGCTGTGGCCGGGTGAGTGACAGGAGACAAGAGACGCAGAGAATAGAAACTCAACATCTAGGAGAGCACAGACAGCCTGCCTTATGTGTGGCTCCTCTCAAGGCTTCAAAGTAAGTCTGACACATTCATAAAATCATTGATGTCACTATCTGAAGGGCTGTCTGCTGAATCGGTTTCTAATTCAGTTATTCTTTTTAGCTGATAGACACATCTCTGTCTCTCAGGAAGGAGTGTCTGGCAGAGTTTAATTGTGCTTTCTAGAGTCAAACTGATACATGGTAATACAGCTCTTGACTCATGTCTTGACTTCCAGAGTATATTTTCTGCTGTGTCACTGGGTTGAATGGTTTCAAAGTGAGCTGTCACACTTGTGACAGTCATTCCGAGTCAGCTGTGGCGACACACTTCAGAGAAAAAAGGCTGAAACATCCTCCATAAATCTCATCTCGTTGCACTTTTATTTGCGTCCATTCTCTCTCTCTCTCTTTTCTTTCTTTCTCCCAGATAATAAATCTGTTGCTTTAGTCTACATTAGACGCTTAAGTCTTTAATAAGGTTTAGATTTTACTTTTAATGTGGTTTCTTATCAGGGAAGAACATGAGTCACATGACTGCTTACCAATATTAGTGCTTATCAATCACTATCTTAGCAGCAAAGTGAAGAGGTTAATAAAGCACTAGCTCTGCACTTTGTGTTTGTGTGTCACAAACCTTTCATCATCTTTTCACTCTGTCATCCTGTCGTGTACGGCACGTTTCTTTTGTGAGGGCTGAGCTACTTGACCACATCTTGTTTGAGGCAAAACAGAGAAATAGACGGAAAGGGGCAATCGGATAGGAAGAGAAAAGGAAGAGTTCAGGACTGGCAAAATGCCAAGTCAATTCAGAGGAAGTCGGGTTGATACACAAGGAGTGTTAGTTTCCTTGTGAAAGTGGTCCTGCTTCAGGCCTGACGTGCAAAGTTAACCTCAACCGTAGCCTTGGGGTGGTGATTCAGAGTCACAGGATGTATGGGACAGCGGGGCTAATCGGGCAGGTTTCACTTTGAAGTCTGTTTGTCCGGTAGCAGCCGATGGAAAATGTCTTATTCCTGGAACTGTGACTACCTCCTCTATGATGCATATCACGTTACACTCCAAAATCTACTTTAAGATCAATTCAAAACTTGACTCTTTGTGTGTACAGCTGTATTTCTTTTTTTTCCCCCCTTTACTGTGAAATGAAAAGACAATGGCATATTGTGTCAACAAGAGTTCCAAAATGAGCCTTGATATGTGGGGTGGATGTGTTGTTAAGGAAACCGGGTTTTTTTTGCAAAAAAAAAAAAAGAACCCACATCATTTGTGGTAGCTGGAAAAATAATAAAAAAGCCTCTATCATTTCTACAATCCAACAGCCATCATGTTTTTATTGATATGGTCTGATTTACAGCTCACCCAGATATTTTGCCCTTTTCTCCTCCGTAGGCCTCCTCTTCTGAATGCACCACAGACATGCTAACCTCAGAGAGGTCACCGCAGAGCATAGGAGCTACCTCTGTGACAGGTACACAAAATGTAGATATGAGATCGTGGAGTGAAGCTGACTTTGAGGAGCAGTGCACCTACATCGTGAAAGACCACCCTCTGGAGGAAGAGTCCAAAAGCCCCGGCAAAACAAGAGCTGAGAGGTCTTTGCCCAGAAACCTTGCCCTGAAACGTTGCTACAGTTCTGCAGAGGTATGCAAGACTTTCCTTCTACTCTTATACCATATGTGGGCTTTTAGCAAAAGCCTGGCTTTGGAATCGTACTGTAAAATCCCTAAATCAAAAAAAACGACAAACATCTAAGCATAAACGGAGCAGCTGTTTGTTTTTACAGAATTTCTTTGCGTCACTCCAACATCCTTCCGTCCACACATCCATCCTCAGGCGGGATGTACTTGACATGTTATTGTCTAATTTTGAGCCTTTCCTCCCTCCTGCATGTGTGCCGAGGCAAAGACGGAGACAATGGCTGAGCCCCCAGCACTCAGACACAGGGGGCTGTGATTAGCAGCTAGCAAAGATTCTGATCCCTTTGTTCCAGGGACAAATTAGACCCTGAAGCAAAGCTGACACATGGGGACTCATCAAATAGGAAACACCTGAAATAAATAGCCAGAAGTCTGTCTCTGGCTTGGTGGGAATTGTCCAGCAAATCTAAAGTTGCGTGGCTGAATCTATAGAGAGAGTATGGTTTTCAAATGTAGTCGCAGGAAGTAGATCTTGTGTGCAAAGTTGAGTACTTTTACCTGTTAACAAGGCTTGCCTGGGGCCTTTTAGCACAGACGACCAGTGATCTGCAACACAAGCGCAACTGAGATCAAGCCATCAAGAACAAAACTAAGTAGATGAACCAGAGTCGGACTCATCCCGTCACAGCCACTATACGAGAATCACTCAAAGATGAAAGACGGAATACTTTACATGTGCCTTTACGCTTTAGGTTTGACAAAAAAAATGTAACCTGGTGTAGTTCACCAGTCGGGGTGTGACCGTGACATCTTATCCTCTCTCCCTCAGCCAGAAGGCTGGAAACAGAGGAGTGAGTTTCACACCTGGAGGTCACAGAACAACAGCCGGTGGTGAAATTTTAATGTGGTAGAGAAACTACCGAAAACTCTGACGACTGGCTTATTAAATATTCAGAATACGGGGAAAAGGTTGTGCCACATCGTTATTCAGTGCGGAAGATCTGACACAATAAAATCTGCTGCCTTGTAAAAACAATAAGAAGATGGCAACTCTCCAGTAATTCAGCTAAAATTTTTATGCAAATATGATCGACCAGACTCTCCTACTTTTTGTTTTCTTGTCCTTGCGTGTCTCAGATTACCACACAAATTTTAACATCAGACAAAGATAACCTGAACAACACAAAATAGCTGTTTTCAAATTATAATTCCATGTATTAACAAATAAAATCTATTCAAATCGATCTGACGCTATTTGAAGAAGGAACCGTGCCTAGAACTGAACCGGTGGTGCCCTGCCAGTATCACTACCTGTAAATTAACTGCATCACTGTTTATTTATACTGGCAGTATCGCCACCTGTAAAAAAAACAAAAAACAAAACAAAACCTAGAACTGACAGTGTCCTGCTTTGTTTGAAATGTTGTTAGTGTCACAGTGTGATTCATAATGAGATGTATGCCGAAAACGGTTTTCTAGAAAGCTCACGTAAAATTTTACTAAAAGATTTGAGGATCAACAAGCTGGCAAATGACATACTGGATTCTGTCTTCTTTTTGTGTATATACTGGACTTTGGATACAATTTTTTCCCCTCCCCAATTTATTTAAGATAATTGAGTCATGAACTCTGACCTAACTGAGACAAGTGAAATCTGCAGTACCTGACATAATAATATGGATTGCATTGATTGAGTTTTTGATGTACTCAGAGAAATTCTGATAAGCTGGCTACCCTTGGAAAGTTCCCTGCTTTTTTAATGTTTTCACTGTTTGTAGATAATGTGGTTCTCTGCAGTCTCAAAACCTTAGAAATTGTTTGAAAATCTTTCTAGGTTAAATGATTTATATGACATTTTTGCCTAGGTTATGACATGTTACTTTTTGAGATCTTTTAGCCTACTTCACGCTGTCAGACATGTCCATATTAAGTTACTACTTGATTATGTAAGTCGGGCAGTGATCAGACGTGGTTGTGGTTAATGAAATGTAACTCGGCTATTTTAAAGAAAGTGTCTAGTCACAGTTAATTCATTTCTTAGAAAGGTGGATAATTATGTTTTCACATTGGCTGTGATGTCTTTTTCTCCTTAATCGAAGACATCATAATTTGAAAACATTTTTTTTTTCTTTTTACTCAACTTGTTGTTTGCTGATATTTAAAACGAATTATAAGCCAGGGAGCAAATAGTTTTCCAAAGCACTGCATTACTTTATTTTAATCATGTAGAAGTTGAATTTTAAAAAGAAAAATTTGACAAGACAGCTTTTCCACAACTGTCTTCTTTATTCTCTCCATTTGTGAACTAATCTGTTATTGTCTGTTTCTGTGTGCTGAGCAGGTGCTTGGAGTGACCAGTAGGGAGTTGATTCCAAAGGGTACCCGTTTTGGTCCTCTCGTTGGCGAAAGCTACACCAGCAAAACACTGCCAAAAAATGCTGACAGCAGATACTTCTGGAGGGTAAGTAAGCAACATGTGAGGCTCTGGATTTGGGTGCTTGAAAGTGAAATGCACGGGTGTGTTTCAGAACTGTTCACATCCTGCAGCTCCAACCAAGGACCTTTCTATAACGGTGTCACTGCGCTGGTTTGCAGTTGTGGTCAAGGAGAGGCATCCTGTATAAGAAAAGTCTGCTAGTCACTGCTTGGGTATTGCACTAGATGGAGAATTAATCGTGTGTTTGACACGTATGCAAAACTGATTGCCAGTACTCGGCAAGGCTGTCTGAAGTAACGCGCACACACACACGCATGCACGAACACCCACACCCAGGCACACACAGCTGTTTGGTTTCAGTGACGCAGTGGTTCTTCTCTCTCTGCTTCTCTCAGCAGTGGTATCACTGCCAGTAAATACACCATATACATGTCCGCACTTCTCCAGACTCACACATTCTCACACTGACTAAGCGAGGAAGTGGCTTTGAGCCTGAGAACTGCGATGTTACAAATCAGCAACACCAGAAGATCTTCCATTACTCACAAGCTCCGTTGCAATTCAGAGCCACAGGGCTGGTAACCTTGAACTAAAAACCAGGCTTATCTGACCTTTGAATAGCTTAAACGGAGACGGTCTATTAGCCATGAATCAATCAAGAGCACTGCTCCATAGCTTCAGACAGCAGAAGAAGTAGTGATGGAGAGGGACGGTAAAGGACATCTGCTCCACAATTGTCCTAGCTCATGGTGGCAGTGGGCGAGATATCGTACTATAATCCAGTCAACCTGAGAATGTCTCATTCAGTGTTGCTTTCATAACTCTAGATGACTTGCTGCACCGCAACCGGCCCTATGCTAATTCTTCAGCTGAACTAAAATATAATGCTTACCATAAAGAGACTAGGAAACTGACATCCTGATTCTGAAGTCAGATCATATTACGGTGCTGCCTGTCTGGTTATTACCAGAACTACTTTCCATAATTTCAGTCCTGTTTTGTATTATAGGTCTTCTCAGAGGGGCAACTTCACCATATCCTGGATGGTTTGAATGAGGAACAAAGCAACTGGATGCGCTACGTCAACCCGGCAAGATCAGTAGAAGAGCAGAATCTGGTTGCCTGCCAGATAGGTTTGGACATCTTCTTTTACACAATTAAACCACTTCAGCCAGATCAGGAGCTTCTGGTGTGGTACAGCTCTGAACTTGCCCGGCGTTGCAACTACCCTCTTCTTGGCCAACTAGCTGTTGAGAAAAATGGTAAGTGTTTGCTTAGATTGAATAAAATCCCGTAAAAGTCATTAGAAACCACCCCAACGCCTATGCTCTTGACACATATCACGGTTAGATTGTCACAGTGAAGAGCTCCCTGTCAAACAGTTGACCAGCTGACACAGTCTTTGTATGGGTGTTAAAAAAAGTTACTCAGTCACACCCATGGCCCCTTTGTTGAAGCAGAGTACAAAAGATGATTGAACAGTCATGGAAACAGAGAGGGGATTGTCCAAAGAGGCAGCACCTAAGTAAAATGAGACCATTTTCCTTATTTTAAACCTTTCAGTCTGCATTATCTGTTTACATACGTCAGTGCTCCCTCGGTAGTTGTGACTTAAGGTATTGACTTTATTCCGGTGCACCATCTTTTATTTATTTAGCTCTTAAAAGAAGTGTCTTGGGAAGGCTACTTTAACTTCCTGACAAGGTGACCCGCTGAAAGATTGATATCTCACTCAGTGTTATTTGTTTGTTTGCTAAGAGGTGGAAGGGTAGGGTAAGAAGGGAGTGAACAAAAGATAAGACTTGCACTCCTGTGTGTGAGATGTTAACTGTGTCCAAAGTAGGTTAAATGGACAACCATACCCTTGTATTTTTTCTTCCTCTGTTTGCAACCTTGAGTACTTTGTCTAGTCTGCAGGAGGCCATAAAAGCACCACCCACAAGACTTCCTGGCTATTCACTTGTTTACACGTGACACTATAGAAGTCCTGATATTGTAAACATATTGTGTGAACATGTCCAGCCACCTTTAGGACTATTTCATTCTGACTGAAATCCTAAATTTCTGTACCATGTAGATGAAAAGCAGTTTCATCTACATGATGTTTATATACATGTATATAAAAACACAAGCTTACAAATAACTAGGTCTCTAAAGCAGTTTCTGTAACCATGGGCTGTATACTATTTACATCAGATTCAGATTGTAGGATGATTGCTTCATGTCTAGTGTCACTTTTTATAAGGTTAAGTGGTGTGGGAGACTCTGTAGGGTAAACATAGTGAAAAAGGTCTAACTCCATATTAAAAAAATGATCAGATTGATAAAAAGAACATGCTTGGATATATATTATTATTAAAACTTTGCAGATCACTCAGTGGAATGTAGCAGCTAGCTGAGTTTTTGAATTTTTAAACTAAATCCACCTGATTCTAATGACATCTCTCCATTTCCTATTTGTCTATCAGAGCAAATTCAGGCTTGCGAAAGGACGAAAGGAAAACGAGGGCACACTGTTTCTGAGATTCTTCGAGACGAACCTTCCAAACCTAAATCTGTCTGTCTCAGACACCAGGACAGTCCGGTGTTTCCAGCGAGTGTCCCAGTTTTTCCCTTATGTTCCAATACTGTCTACCCGATGCAGTCCAACTTGGAGCCCGCTCATGGCTACAAATGCGTTCCTTTGCTACCTTTGGCATCATACAGCGCTTCTACTGCCAAAAGGCCAGCATTGAGCACTCCCATTCCAGCTAATCTGCACTTCGCCCTGCAACACGCTCAAGACGCTGGCAAAACTGAACCTCACCAAAAAGCTTGTGTTTCTAAGGATGTTCACTCCACTCTCAGGGAGGGCCCCTATCTACTGCCTCACTACTCACTGGGCCTTCTGCCGTATTCAGTACCACTCTACAATGAACGACTGAAACCACACTTGCCCACATCCTCCAAGTTTCTACCTTTCGACAACTATGCACACTTTCTACATCCTTTGAGTAGTGGTTCCAAAGACTTTTTACTTGCGTCATCCAACTGCAAGCAAGACCTAAGTTTTATGCAAACTAGTGACCACAAAGACACCAATGACCTTTACTCCAAAAAGGTTAACTACCTCAAGAATACTTCAACTGACCTCAGAGACTTCAAATACTCTGTCTGCACCAATGTCTACACAGACCTCACTGCATCTACCAAGGCCAGCTCCCCACCCATTGGCATTAATCTCCATGGAGAACCTTCTTTTGCACCTCGGGAATGCTCGCCTCCAGTTGCTACAGCTGCCTCCTCAAACTACCTTCCTTCCACACCTACCTCTGCCACTCAGAGCAATGCTGAAGATGCGTTGGATCTTCGGAGGCAAAAGAGAGGAGGCCAGATCATTGGCTACAAGACTCTGTCTTATCCACTCACAAGGCAAAATGGAAAGATTCGGTATGAATGCAACATCTGTGGAAAGGTCTTCGGGCAGCTGTCCAACCTCAAGGTCAGTACAGCATCAAGACACTGAAGAAAGTTGAAGAAAATAACTAGCAAGAAATATAACTGAATGACTATGCTGTGTTTTGGAGCATACTAAAGCTGAAACTAAAACTATTGCTCTTACGTGTTGTTTTCAGGTTCATCTGCGAGTGCACAGTGGTGAGCGTCCATTTAAATGTCAGACCTGCAACAAGAACTTCACTCAGCTGGCTCACTTGCAAAAACACTACTTGGTTCACACAGGAGAGAAGCCTCATGAGTGCAAGGTAAGTGTGTAACTTCAGAAGTATTATTTCACAGCTTGACTCTCCATATTGAAAAAAAGCTAACAGTTCTAGCCATCATGTCATCTAAGGTCGAACACCGTTAGATGCATTTGTTACATTTACGTTGCTTTATTTTTTTTTTTTAGGTGTGCCATAAGAGATTTAGCAGCACTAGCAACCTGAAGACCCACCAGAGATTACACTCCGGCGAGAGGCCTTACCAGTGCAAGCTCTGCCCAGCCCGATTTACTCAATTTATTCACCTCAAGCTTCACAAACGGCTGCATACAGGGGAGGGGACGCACCGCTGTCCTCGCTGCCCCAGTACATATCTTCACTACAGCAGCCTGCAGGTGCACCTCCAAGGATTCTGCCCTCTGTCCCCCTCAGCATCCCGCAGGCTGTCGCCAGAGGAGCTACAGCGGGTCAATTCTGAGATAGAGAGGTTTGACATGAGTGAGGCTGCAGAGCAGCTAGAAGCAATGGCCACTGAGGCTGAGATAGACGAAGGGAACATCATTGACCTGATACGAAAGATAGAGAATAATATCTTAAGCCTCCAAGATGTTGCCAGAGGGAAGGCTGAGCTGAGCATCTCTAGATCAGCGGCGGAGTGTACCGCTGCTCAGATGCATCATCACAGTCCCATGGTTTTGCCACCAGCAAGCATCAAGCTGGAGTCAGGCTGCATTTCAGAGACTTAAGACTGACCTGCTAATCCCACCAAATAATCCTTAAAGGCCAACTCAGCAGCTGTCTGTCACTGTCCTATTTGAAGTAAAGTCTTATCTCTATCATGGATTGCCTATATACTCAATAGGGATTTGAGCTCATGAAGAGTCAAGACATTGCCAGCATCACCTGGGGGAAAAAAAAACAGACTTCGGTGATCTAATATTCTTACGTCTTTATAATTTATTCAGTTACTGATTTGAATCTAACGTGTGTAAAAAAAAAAAAAAATTGATACTTGCTATATATATTTTTAAACATTTGAAACAATAAATTATTACCAAAATGTGATATTTGTGGACTCACTGTGCAAGACTGAGTTTTCCTGTTTGCGTGGACATGCCTGTGTCAACGTTGAGTGGCTAAAGTGAAAATGACTGCATAAGCATGACTCTGGTGTCAGTGGGCTAAGTGCTGAAATGACGACACAGAGGAAACCTCAATTGTTCGTGCATGGTATACATGCTTGCCTTTGTGTGAGAGCACTCGGCTGATGTGGGGAGTCAGTGATGCAGATAAACATCCTGTTATGAGTCTCTGGATATTCGCCAGTAAGTATCACCGCTTCAGCCTGGAAAAAAAAAATATAATTACACTATTCTCACTATCGGTATGGTCTTACTGCAAATTTCGAACCTGTATGCATGTATCGTGATCTCAGTTTTAATCAGGCGGCAGATGTTTTGCCCACAAACAGAAAACTTTAACTCGGCATGCATGTGCAATATCATATAGGCAAACAAGTTAAGATGTTTGCAAAAAAAAAAAAAAAAAATGAATGCAATTCTTTGAAATGCAGTATTTGAGGAAAAAAAAAAGAAAATTTGTGATGGCTCTAATATCGCCATCAAACCAATTTCAAACACATGCAGCTCTAGCTTTTAACACGGCAAGATTGAGAATCTCAGGAATGTGTATATCAAAGAAATAACTTTAAAAACTAAAGTAGGATTTTGGGCCAACAAACCTCAAAATATAAACCAAAGAAGAGTTGACAAAGGATGGGTTTCAATGGTCATGTGGTCTAATGAATCATTTACGCTCTTTATTGACACATACTTCAAATGTCAGGCATTTTCAAGCAAAGTTCACAGATTTTAAGTTCAATTTAGGTCAGGGTTCTCCAAAACAGTTAACATCAGCAGGCTTTTTCTAATCCAAAGCCAGTGTTGATGCTTGGAATAATGATCTTGTTAGAACACACAGCTGTGACCATGTTTCAATCATCCAGTTCTTGGTTTGAGATGAAATTAAGGAATTTGGAGATAGTCGTTTTTCGTTAATATTCCACGTTTTGAATTGCACCACTTGCAGTAAAACAACCTCACAGAATAATGCTGCCACCACCAAGGTGACAGTTGCAACAGGCAACTTGAGTCCAACTTGTCACTGTAGCCAATTTTTCCTGCATGACTAAAAAACTTTTTTCCAAAACGTTTTTGGGTTGGTTGGTCTGTGGGGGCGATGAATTTCAGTTGAACTCAAAGGAGATAGTTAGAGGAGGAACTTCCCACCTCCCCCCATCCATCCCCCAACAACACACTCAAACACAAACACACTCCATGGTGATGTGAAACTTGCTTTAATGTGGACACTGAAGCTGGTGGCTCATATGACTCCTACCTGACCTGCCTCTTAGCTGATGATACGCTGTAGATCAAGTCACCATCTGCCTTACAGTCGCTCTTCATCTTGTTCTGTATTGATGAAAAGAAATGGAAAAAAAAAAAAAAGAACTGCCAAGTTTTAAAACGTTCTACAGCCATGTTTCTTAAATTATGATACAAACACTACCGGTAGTTTTCAGTTGCAGATTTTGATATCTATAATGTGCCTGACTACCCCAGGGGTTGGCTTAGGCCGGATGCGATGGAAACAACACTGCAAAAACGAAATACTATTTTTGAATTGCACTCGAAATAAATGTGATATTGATTTTTGCATGTTCACTCAATGATGAATGAACTTCATGATGTGCACAGTGTAAGGAAATGCGACAGGAACCTAATGAAGCGGTGGTTGGTATCTGATACAAAACCATTGTTCTATCACCCAGACATATATGGTTTTTTAACTTCCTAATGATTCTTGACGATCAGCCCAAAAAACGATTAGTATCAGCTGTTAGCAAATTAAAAATGCTAAGATGCAGTTACCTCTGTAGTTGTAGATGGACCTGAAAATGAGACCACATCCATGTTCCGGTAGCAAATTATGAAATTAGTTTTAATCGATAAAAACACTACATCTTTTTCATAATAGCTGTCCTCATAAAGTTATATTGTCCTATCTGGCGTGAAGTTTTTCCACCTCAGATCTAATGTGAATTAATAACTCTGAGGTTAAGTGCATGATAACATCCACAACCTTTTGCTGCCTTCCACAGTGCAACCCGTTGCCCCGTATTAAACAAGAAAACATTTTAAAGACATCTGCCTCCCACATGCACACATTATTCATCCAGTGTTGCCAGTTGTTCCAGTTGTTTGTCCATTCCCACTTAGGTGGAGAACTGTGGTCAGGTAACTGGTCAAAACCACGCAACGAGGTGTGGCCCACTGTGCATTCTGACATGTGTCTATCAGAACTCGCACGAACATCATATATATATATATATATATATATATATATATATATATATTCACTTCGAATGTCAGTGGTCATAATGTTATGGCCGATGACGGGGATCAAATGATACAATGGCCTGCCATGAACTCTCTACGGTTACAGTCTCATCAGTCGCTCGGTAACTGATGCCCCTTTAAAGCGACCACTGACGTCATGTTTTTTTGACAGGGGGTGGGCAACGGGAGAAAAGAAGAAGAAGAAGAAGAAGGGAGCGGATGTACCCGGAGAGAAGGATGACCAGGATCATGTCCCCGGCTGCTCCTCGCTCCCACATATCTGCAACATGATGAACGCCGCTCCCGGAGCGCTCGCCCGCAGGATGCCGTCAGCGGCCCGGCGGAGCGGCTGCTGGATAGCCTGGTGCCAGGCAATCCTGCTCGGCGTGTCGGCGCTGGTTATCGTGGCCGAGCGGAGCGCACGTAAGTGGGCAGCTAGCTTGCCGGTGGCGATCGCGCTCCCAAGTTAATGCTTTATCTAAAAAATAAATAAATAAATAAATAAAATAATAATAATAATAATAGCAAGACGACAAGTTTCATTACACCGTGGAGGTTTTAGCTACATTCATGGAAGTGTGGCCTCTGTAGCACTGTCACGAAGCTTTATATTCAGGTGGAAACACAAGGTGAAGCTGTTATTACTAGTGTGAACAGAGAGCCGAGGCTTTGTTTACCACAGCTGGAAACTGGTGTGAACGCCTGAAGGTGTCCCCCAACAGCTTCACCTATCATCCTACATCCTACCACTCACCACAAACAGCGTTTATAAAAACATATATATTATTAAAATCCTTAAAATTTCTAAAAAAAAAAAAAAAATGTAGTCCATATTAAACAAAATTAGCTTTCGTGCTGTTCTCATCCCACCTGTAATCTGTCAGCTCAGTCTCCCTGAACAAGCGGATCAATGACCCAAGGTCAGGATACCAGAAAGATGACTGGATCTGTACAAAGTGTGACTTTGTGTTCTGCAGGTATACCATTCCCTGAAGATAAAAATACTCAGCTGCCGGCTGGACTTCTGCCGATTCCTCATTTCCGAGCAACATCAGTTTATGTAACAAATATTTGAAGTTTGCATCAAAGCTGGTAGACAGACAGCATGACTGCACTCGTGGGAGATCTTCTTGCTCGTCGCATTCTGTGCATTTGGCAATATATCCGAACATACGCAATGCTTTAATACAGTTCACTTCAATTACTTTTATTTATGTAGTGCCAATTTGCAACACATGTCATCTCAAGACACATTTCCAGGCATATGAAAAGACAAACCGTTCACATATTCAAATCCAGTTCCATCCTGGTTGTAAAACATTGCAGTTAAATTCAGTTTGTAATGCCAAATGGTAAAAAAAAAAGAAAAAAAAATGCAGAAATCTGTCCCACTGATAAAGCATGCTTTGTGCATAATGACCTCTTACCTCATTTCATTCTGGCACTCTGTAAGTTCCATTTGCACTTTAAATTCTTGCATAAAACCTGCATTCTGCTCGTCTTTTGTTTGCGTGCGTGCATCAGTGATCTACTGTATAGGATTCTACCTTTGGAACGAGGAGACGCAGTGGGCAGGCCTCACACTCGGCCTCTTCCTTCCTGGGACAGCAGTCCAGCTGCTAAGTGTGAAGTGGTACTATGATGACGGGGATGAAAGGCGGTGCTACCTCTCCGTCATACACGTGCTACACTTGGGCATCTTCAAAAGGTATGGTCTGTGCAACCCCAGCATGTTGGGGTTTTATTGCACGTGAGCACAGCCTGCATGCTCAGTGAGATGTGACACTCCTGAGAGTGCAGACAGGGAGTTTTGACATCATTCTGTCATTGAGAAGGTTATCCCTGTTCAGGTGTTTGTCTCCCTCTGCTGGCAGGTTGTGGGACTGCATGAGGTCCGTGCTGCACATGCAGGACTCTGTGGCTGAGCTTGGTGCTGCCGTCATGCAGCAGGCAGACGTCGCTGCCCTGTGGCTGCTGGAGGCGCTTGTCCTAACTCTGCCTCAGAGCTTGCTGCAGGCGTATGTGGTCGTATCTACAGATGTGGGGATAATGTCACCAGGTCAGCCCATCTCCGTGTCAGTTATTAGCTCTCGTTTGAGGCATGACTTTGTTGTCTAATGCTTTGCCTCCGTTTAACACTCAGTGGCATATTGCTGTGGACTATGCGTGCTGTCCATTTCCTGGGCCCTGGTGCTGTACAGCCGAGCCTGCTGCCTGATACGACCAGGCCACTTGGCCATGCCACCAGCAGCCCTGCTGTGCCAGCTGGTCTGGAGAACAGGCATGTTGGGAGCCCGGGTGACCTGCCTCATGTTCTTCGCCAGGGTCTTCAACTGGTGGGTCTGCGGAGTAGCAGGTGAGCACGGAGAGGGAAGGTCCTCCGATGCCATTCAGGCACAACCCAAAAACAAACTTCCGTAGTTTGCGTTTGGGCTATAAATCTCTGATTTCGGTATGTTTTTGCCTTGATCTCCAGGTTTTCACTGGCTCACAGCCTCCTTCTGGCTGGTATCACAGCAGCCCGACATTTGCACTGGTCACTGGTGTTGGCGTGCCTTTAACGGCGTCCTGGGGCTCATCCACGTCTTCCTCTTCCTCAACGTCAAAGACGGACCCTCGCGCTTTCGCATGGCCAGCTTCTATGCAGTAAGGAATGGGTTGTTTTACAGAAAAGCGTTTCATGCGCTGTGCTCCGCTGGGTGTGTCATCCCACGCAACGACCTACAAGGACACATGCGCTTATGTAAAGCAAGAAGTTTGCACCGTCATCCTCACCTCTGTGTCCTCAGCCTGCAGTGACGTAAAGCTGTTGGAAAATGAGTGATGGTGTGACTTTCTCCTCCTCCGTTAGTTCATGCTCGTAGAGAATGTGACTCTGCTGCTGGCCGCCTCCGACTTCCTGAGCGAAGCATCATGGGATAGCATGACCCTTCCCACTTCTGTGCTGTGCAGCTTTTTCCTCGGTGAGTCATTTTGTCTGCAGCATCTGTACAGAGGCACAAACCAGTCCGATTCTGTTAATAATAACAATGATTACAAAAGGTGTAGAATCAAAACTCTGAAAAACGACGATACGGTTGCCAGGGTAGAAAATTGATAGTCTGAAAAGTATGAAACTGTTAAGATCATATGATACCAAATTTTCTTAAATACACAACACTGAGTCTTGTCCACTGGTGTGGTGTGTCTGTAGTTGAACTCCTCCACAAAAGATGATAGAACAAACAATTAAGTCTGCAGATGTTATTGTCATGACTGACCTTCCCTCCATCCAGGACTTGTACAGGTATATGGTCTGGAAAAAGGCAGCTACAATCTCTGCACACCCCACACATCCTGGACTCAAACCCTCAAGGCTTTTACCTTCAGGTTGGCGCTACTATTTTAAAAATGAGCCGCCGAGAGAGACGTTTTTGTTCCCTCGGGTTGTCCCTCTAATGAACCTTTAACAGTCGGAGTTCCCACATCGATACGTACCTTCACCTTCCTCTAATTCAACCTTGGCTTCCTCTTTTGTAAAAACACTGTATATGCACATATTTAGAAAAACATATTTTGTAATAGTTCCATATTTATATTTAAAATGTTCTCACTGAGTGCAAAATGGAGCCAAAGTCAAATTTCTTGTTTGCGTGCACAAACTTGGCGAATAAAGCTTTTTCTGACTGAAGTGTTAATTAACTGACTTTTGGACCTTTTTGGAAAAAAATCAATATAAGTTGCATTCGGATAAATTCATAGGAAAACAAATTCAAAAGATCCTCAGTTACAACACAGTTATTAAATATGGACAAAATCTTGCACCGAGGCATTTTTAGTTTTTTAAGTCACTGGTGCCGATCCAATTTGCAACCCAAATAATTTCTGTAAAATAAGCCAACGCAGTTATTTATTTATTTGTACTTTCTTTCTAAGGTTGAGCAAAGTTACAGAAGACAGCTAATAATTCATGGCCCATTTCTCTTTGCCACTCTTCAAAATGAGAAAGACAAACATACAACCCGAGTAGGACGGGAGTGTGTCTGTGTTTACCTACTATCGCAAACTACAATCTAACAGAGGTGCCAATCAGTCGGGGGGCTCAGGAAAGGAATACATACTAAACTTTAATATTTTCTCTCGTTTGCTTCCAAGGAGCCACCTCGCTGGTCCTGTACTACCGGTTCCTCCATCCCAAGTCCACAGAAATCTCCCAAGGTACAAACCGGCATCAGATGGGCAGCACATGCATAGAGCAAGGCGAGTCTTCCTTCTCTCTTGGCGACAAAAGTCTGCCGGCATCTTCTGTCCAGAATCACGGCAGCTTCTCCCTGTCTGGCGTAGCTGGCTCCCTGCTGGAGCACCCGGGAAACTGTCAAGGCCACTCCAACAGCTCCTGCCCTTGCTTCCACCACCACTGGCTCCTCATCCGCCTGGCCCTGAAAACCGGCGATCTCTGTAAAATCAACAGGGCGTACGGAGCCGGTGGGCCGGCGGCCATACTGGACATGGAGGAGTACAACCAGGAGTTCAAGAGCAACGAGGGCATCACCTTTACGGCTGGCGGCAGCTGTGAAGGGGTGTCCACCTCCGAGTCCCAGGGGAAGGGCCTGGCTCCGCTCTCAGACTGCAAAGACGAGTTCCAGAGCGTAAGCGAGCCCACGTCGACCGAGCGACCCGAGGGAGAGGACGACAGTCTGGAGATGGAAAGCCCCATGGAGTCGCCCACGTCGGATTTCAAACGCAGCTCCCCGGAGGGCAAGTCGGTTTTCGGAGACAGCCCGGAGCCTTATTACTGCCCTACTGAATCGAGTTCCACCTTGTACTTCAGTGCTGATCCCCAGTCCCCCAGCAGCGCCAGCAACCCCCGTTTGGACCGGGACATCGGGGGTCTGGAACAGGGGGTTCGGCTCAGCTCCATCCCCAGTGATCCTGCCCTGCACAGAGACGTGCGTGGACTCATGAGCCGCGTCGGGCCACGCTGCACCTCCACTCCCAAGCTGGACTGCGGGGTGTCGGATTCTCCCCCCAGCGTCCCGCATCTCACTGGTCCAAGGAGGCAGCTCATACTGTCCCGCAGAGATGAAGATAATACCTTCTAGCTGTCTTGTGGCACAATCAGGGAACGAGTTAAGAGCAGCAGCAGCTTATCCAACGTTAACGGAGCAACACCAGCTTTATAAGAGTCGTAGGGGTTAGAGCACTACATGCAGTAGGGAACCTAAAATAATCCTAAAATAACATCTATTTTTCTCATAACATTAACCATTCTTAAAAATGCATTGCTTCTAAATGTTGGAAACACAGAAACTATCTATGTTTGTTTTCTTTTTTTTTTTAAAGGAAAATCTGACATTCAAGTGACAGTAATGGTGTGTGATCACGCCACCAGCCCCAGTTTCAGTTCATATTTATGCTATTGTTTGGCAGCTAAACTTTGGAATTATACTGTGCAAAAAAAAAAGAAAAAAAAAAAAAAACGAAAAAGAAAAATTGCTTCCACATGACTGTGATTACTTAATATGAAAGCACAGTGCTTTTCAAACGTATGCATACCCCTTGAAATTGTTTGCATTTTGAAAGTTTACAACCACAAACTTCTTTTTGTGGGATTTTTTATGCGTGTACAGATTTGTGAAGTTATTATTAATTTCCTTATTTCTTTTTTTTTTTACACCTAAAAATCAGGAACGTGTGATTTGCTTTTACCCATTGATAGTGTCAACAACTCTGACCAGCTTCCCTGTTTTTGCTGATGACAAACACCCCCACAGTATGACGCTAGCACTGCCGTGTTTCACAGTGAGGACGATGTTTTCAGGCTGAATGCAGTGGTAATCTGCTGCAGGATATATTCATTTTGTTGTCATTTGAATTTCTTACACATATTAAAGGGGTATGATTGCAAATGCACAGCAGACATTTCTCATTTTTATTTGCAAAAAGAAAAAAAAAAGTTGGTCTGTCACATAAAATTCCAATGAACTGCATTGAAATTTGTGGTTGCAGGATGACATAATGTGAAAAGATTCAAGGGGTGTGAGTATTTATTCAAAGCACTGTACCCGTTAGTTTGGTTTAAAACATTTTATCATATGCAGCGACTCGGCTCTGAAACGAGCGAATTTCAGCAAGTCATACTGAAACATTCGTATCACTGCAGCTATTTGATGACAGAGTGCATAGATCTAGCAGTGAGTGGAGCATCTGACCTCTGAACCTATCACAATGTAAGCCATAGCTTCTATGGCTTCTTAAAAGCACAACTATTTTCAGTATCGTCTGTTTCTGCTGCAATGCTGTTTTTTTCTTTTTCTTTCTTTCTTTAACGTAAAAAAATAAGACTTCACTACATACATGTGATATTAATAAGCTGTGTTTCTCATGTGGTGTTAATTGGCATTGAGCAGAAAACTGTGATGTTTTTATCTTTTTTTTTTCTGTTACATGTTGACCATGTAATTGTTAAATAACTTATTGAACTAACATTATGTTGTAAAACAACAATAACGTCTCAGGCACAAATTCATCTACTGTGAGACAAAATGAATCGTGTGCATATGAGACATTTGTGGTGACTTTTTTTTTATTTATTTGCTCTTGATTGCTCTTTTCAGGTGACAAACTTTTATTCGAAGCACTGTTCTGAGACAGGAAAGCAGTGTAACGATGCCTGTGTGGCATTTTAAAATATGACGTCTGAGGCCACTGGTGGCTTGAAATACGCAATAAACAGCCTACATGTTTGACTGAGTTGACTTATTATTTATTTCATTTTTTTAAAGATACTTCTTAGGAAATTAATGAAATTATCCCAGACTTGTATGTTATTTCTGCATTAATAGGAAAGTTATTTAAAGCTGATGGTGGGTGGAGCTAAATACAAGAGACTCCTGGAGGAAAAGCAGATTTAGGCTGAAATATTTGACGCATACTACTTATGAAAAGTAAATATTATCTTTCTTTTGCGTTTTTGTAACCTTTAACCAAATCTTTGTCATTGCTCAGGTGTAAAAAAAAACAATGCAGGTTGTTAAAACAGCCTCAGTTTTGAGACTTGTGCCTAAGTTACCTTTTTTTCCAGGAGGCTGCGAGACCTAAATGGCCTTAAAGGTATTTATGACACTCGCCCTTTAAGACGGGGCGCATGCGCAAACCGCCGGGAAAGTTAACTCCTGAACTTCGCAGAGCCGAAAAATTTTTCTGATTTATAAAGTCAGTGAGCTGACATGGCATTTCGTCGGAGAAACAAGAGCTACCCGTTCTTCAGCCAGGAGTTTCTCATCCAGAACCATGCCGACATCGTGTTCAGCCTGGTGATTTTCATTTTGATCGGGCTGATGTTTGAGGTGAGATGAACTCTGATTCTTTCTTTTCTTCCCTCGTCTCTGTTTGTCTCTCAGCTGTTTTAAGAATGCAGGTCTGTCTGTGCGTTCCTGCACTGATGTGTGAGCTCAAAAAGCTCTTTCTGTCGATTACTTGCAGACTGCATCAGAGGTTCGTTCACACCGACCGATAAGAACGAGATTATCACCTTCTTTCATGTACTTTTTTTTTTTTTTTTTTTTACAACTTTTGTTGCCAGTAAGTACTGCTTTTCTGGTCGAAGACATACACGAATTAAAACTTCTTTACATAAATGTTTAACAAAACTGCAAGGCATATTATGGGAGCTGTTTTTTAAAAAGTGAAATATTGCATATTTACTTTTAGTGTTAAACATCTTTAACAGCGCTCTTGGATTTTTTTTTTTTTTTTTTGCATTAACCAAATGTCTCCGTAATTGCCTGCTTTGCTTCCTGTCAAGATGAATAGATTTTCTTGTATTTAACGTGTGCTTCATTCCAGTATACATTGTGTTGTAACAAACTTTAGGAACTGTCTCAAAAATCCCAAAATCATACAGGAAATTTGGCTGTTCCTATTTTCAAAATAAAAGCACGGCACTCGCTCTATCGTAATTAAACCCGCCCCTGTTTATTTTGAAAGGCAGTAGCGGAAGTTACTTCGTTTTCCGCCGCGCACTTTATCTGTTAAGTTAACTGCCACGTCTCACTCTGATCCGCTGCTTGTGGCCACTCTGGCTTTAGCAGCTCCAAAGACCGCTTTGACCAGCCGCTATTTCGGCAAGGACACTCAGCTAGATGGTTCATAGTGGAGCTGGTTCTCCTACCACCCTTCTAAAGCCATCTTCTCCCCACCTCGGGGTATTTAAAGTTTCTGTCCGGAACTCTGGTTGTGATCACACAGATGGTCGCGTTGAGAATAACTTGAAGGGGGATTTCCTTTTTTTTTTTTCTGGTTTCAGAAGAAAAGGGGAACTGTGCATTTCATATGAATTTTTCAGATCTTGTTCCCACAGGTCAAATACCCTCTGCTAAACAGAACAAAAGCAGTGAGTTGTTGTGATGGTCAATCCGATGGCAGAGCACCAAGTCTTTCTCAACAGTCCGTGTGCTTTGGCAGCCTTTACTGCTTAAAACAGAAGCAAGCAAATGATGTCCTTTAAGAGGCTTGCTTTTGGGCTTTTCACCACTTCACAATGAATGTTATCTCAAGGCACTTGACTAGGAAACATGTGTAATTTGTCCAAATTCCAATCCACTCTTTTCATTCTTTGACTCCCAGTCATACAGTCAGATTCTGACCCTGTGATTGTGAAACTGCGATACTTTGTTTAGACGAGACCATATCGGCAAACGTAGGAAAGAAGATGCTCGGAGATCTAAACTGAACTTTGTGGCCTCCAGTCGAAACACCATGAGTGGCAGAAACCCAACACTGTACGTGGTTTAAGTCCCACCATCTCAATTGTAAAACATGATGGCAGCATCATGGTGTTTTGAATGGTTTTACATTGGTGGAGAATAGTTGTGCCGATCACAGTTGGGTCCAAATTCAGTTCATATTAGTCTGAATAATTCCAATACAGCTCAGTCGTATAGACGGATTCAGATTGTGTTAAGCCAGTTATCTATAATTGTATAATTGTATAATTGTATTTTGCCACAGGCCACGTCAATGGAACAATCCAAACATGTGTAAGAAGGTGATCTTATCAGATAATGTTAAAATGGCATAAATATCACAGGATTTCCACCGTCATGGTGGCAGGATCAGACTATGGAAATTCTTCATACAAAAAAAAATCCTAAAGTATCTGGTCTTTCCTGTACATTACTCCTGATTACGTTCTTTAACAAGCGTATTATCCATAGGAATTCAGTTCATCTTACTTCTTTCTGTTCCTCCTGTTGACACTGTCTATAAAAACTCTTTGAAGACCAGTTTGTTGGAGCTGCTTTACTCAGATCATTCACTTGGTTTTGTCCTTTTTTTTTTTTTTTTTTTTTTTTTTTTTTTTTTAGGCAAAAACAAAAAACCCCATACCTTTTTTTTACCCCCCGAAAAAAACACCCCCTTTTTC